ACACACACACACACACAAACACACACACACACACACACACACACACACACACACACACACAATCACACACAATCACACTAAACCCCCTCCAGTTCCTAGGAGAGGTCTTGGGAAACACACATGCTCACACACACAAAGCAATCATTTACATTTATTGAAATCTCCCATGCAAACCGATTGTATTTGCGGTGGGACAGGACTTCCCTAGCAGCGCTCACATCACACGTGTGTTTCTGCCACACGTGTCACCCGCTTAGACAGACTACAGTTACATGGATCAAGGCTTATGTTTGGCCCGGTCACCACTATCATCAGTAACCCAATACCTCTGCTGGTCTGCAAATGGAAAACACACATGCCAGTCTTCTGAATGTTTGCCTTTCATCTTTTGTTTGCGTGTTTGATGGGAATTTATTTTTTCGGTATGTGTACAAAAGGTTTTTGTTTCATATCTGACTTTGTGCATCCTTTCGATATCATTTAATTGTAAATAAATCTGCCCACTTATGGTTATCACACATTATTTTACACATACTGTTTTAGTGTGTCTGTGTATGTTTAAAGACTGTAAGACTCACGCCATCTTCACAAAGTAATGGAAGACCTACTTGAGAATAACGTGTGAAAACGAATCGCTAAAATCAGGAGGAAAAGAAAACCTAATACCCTCTGAGGTACGGCTTCAAACCACTAGCTCACATTCATGCACGCACACCAAAAGGGTTTCATCCTGATTCGCTGCAGTCACACTCACAACAGTGATGTCATTCGTGTGTGGTGTGTGTGTTTGCTGGAACAAAGCCTCTTTTGTGCTGCTGCAAACACTCGCCTACACAGATCACGCGAGAAGCGACCTAAAACAAGATGTTTTCAAATCAGAATTGAATTTATGGTTGCATAATAAGTTACTTGTGTAGTTAAACAGCTAAGTATATGTGCATGCGTGTTTTAAATTAACTTTAAATGAACAAATTCCTATAGTTTCTGTGTTCCCTATAGTTTCTCTGTATGAATCCTATTATCATGATGACCTCCAAAGCCTTTTCATGACTGGGTCCCTGATACCCTACCCTACCTCTTCCGTTATGCTATATGTCTTACTTTAATAATAATAATAATAATAATAATAATAATAACAACAATAACAACGACAACAACATAACTATAGTCATTGTTGCAATTAGCGTGTTAATAACAGTAGAAATTAAAATTATACATTATAATAAAATAAAGCATTTTTATAATGTATAATAATAAATAATAATAATAATTAAAAAAAATATACATTATAATAAATTCACAGTAGTAGTAGTAATAGTAAATGAAGATGAAATTTACATTACTGCGACAATACTTAAAGCTTTAATCGCTCCAATATTATGAAAATCCCTTCTTGCAGAATTTATAATTCAGGAATCATGATTAATTACATTAAATTATTGCATAAATTAGGAGTAATCCATTAAATAGCCTTTCTATAATGTATTTTTTATATATAAACACACTTTACCCTCAGTGCTGTTTCCTTGTTGGCTACTGCCCTGCAAACTCAACTTCTCATAGAGTGAGACCTTTGACCCACAATCACAATAAACAGCCAATATAATATGGTTTGATGTTATCACCATAACGCAGAGTAACAATTACTATGGTGTACTCAGTGACACGTGCCACCAAAACTCGATGTGCCCTTGTATTTATGTTAACATTGATGCATTACATGTTGTGTTTGGATCTGTAAGTCACCTCAGATAAGTGCAGACAGAAAACTGCAGAACAGCCAGTCAAAGCACATTCATCAGGACCCGTGTACACAAACCCTGAAAGACAAAGACCCACCAGACGACTGTGAGTGACTCTTGATGCTTACTAGAGCTTGATTCAATTATGATCTAAGAGAAAAATTTGATTTAAAAATGTTTCACGCTTTAGTAAACAGACGAGGACATGAGGATTGACTCCAAGAGAGATTCTGCATTATCGTGTGAGGCCTCTAGAAGGAATAAGTCTTGTCAGAATTGTTGTGGCTTCGGCAAACCAAGACAAAGGTGGCGTCACTGTATGAGAATGTCTGTGCGTTTGTGTATGCGTGTCAAAGTGTGTAAAAGAAGAAGCCATTATCCAGGCTCCATTACATGCTCATTTAACTTAACCTGAAAGCGGTCTTGGGCGTCACTTCAATTGATTAAAAAAATAAAGATATTTTACGTTTTTTTTTTTTTTCCCCAAGCATCCTACATTGACCAAAAGTATTCAAAATGATGACGTATGACAAAATGTGTGCAATGTAAATTCACATTTGTTTAGTTTGAAGGGGAAGGCACAAGTGATTCATCTTAAAATGACAGTCCCAAAAATAAGTTATTTGAGTAAATAAAGCATATAAAATGCTGCTCACTAAATCATCTTTAATGCACAGCAGAGTTTTAAAGGGGTATCAGTTTACTTCACAGTCAGATGATGATTCCTATGTTTACAAAACTGTTATTATTATATTGTATAATCATTTAAAACTGGATGGTTTCCCACATTCTTCAAAATATCTTCTTTTGTGTTTAACAGAAGGTGAACTATAACATTTTTTATAAGTTATTAATTATTTAGTTAATTAATATGAGTTATTAGCTGCGTATCAGTAAATATAGTCAGGAAGGAATAAAATGTGATTTGATGTGTCACATTTGACGTCAATTGTCCTTGTTGGGTCAAAGTACAGCAGAATAGTCATAATCTCTTTTCTGACAAGATGTCGTCATTGCAGTACCAAAACAATCTTCAGCATTTTACAGCGAGATCATATTTGTTTACTTACTGATTGTTCATTAACTCAAAGAGACCGACACGTTAACACCTCCAAGCCCACAGTAGCCATAAGACATCTACTGATCCTCAGTCACAGATCGAGGAACCTAAAACCATAAATGTCATACAGACACTCATATGACCGCTGGGTCAAAAACGCTTTTCACGAGTGTCACAGTATTTGCAAATAAAAGATTTTTATAGTTATGTTATATATAGTATATAGTAAAGCTGACGTATTTTATAGCTTTGGGTTGAGCGAAGCTACCTGAGGCTCAGAAAGTTCATATCATGCCTGTACCTGCGTCCTCTGTGAAAGGGCTGAAGGTTAATTGTTCTGAAAGGGGAGGGCGAGACAGAAATGCTTCATTTAATGAATTATGGCTAATCTGCAATTAAATAATTTATGGTTTTAAACAAATAAAATGCCATTGCAGATTTACCCATAAAGAATTTGCAGAAAATTTGCTTATAAATAAATAAATGAATAATAAATGCATAAACAAATAAAATTAATAGATAAAAGCATAAATGCATGAACAAATGCCAAAATAGAAGCACAAAAAAAATCAAAAAAATTAATTAATTAATGCCAAAATAGAATGCATGAATGTACGAAGGCACAAATAAATGAACGAATGAACGAATGCACAAATGCACGAATGAACGAATGCACAAATGCACGAATTAATGAATGCACAAATGCACGAATGAATGAATGCACGAATGAATGAATGTACAAATGCACGAATGAATGCACAAATTCACGAATGAATAAATGAATGCACGAATCCAGCCAGCACAGCTTACCCACAAAGAGCCATTGCATAGTGTTGGTTGAGCTCTCTTTATTTACAGCATGAGCCTTTGTCATGTGATTGGAAAAGATAGATACAGAAATATAGCTTTTTTTAAATGTTACGTGGGATAGTAATAGCACTGTGCAGCCAGCTGTGAGAGCCTTAGGAGCTATAAATGCAGTAGCCACAGCGATAATACCACATGACGGCGGACTATTTGTTTTCGGCCTAACAGAGCTGTGCTGTTAGCTATACATGGACACGTCCTGCAGCATCTCAGAGGAGAGTGGTTTGGCTTGAGAGTGGGAATACATAGTTACTTAATACCACACTAATCTAAAACCCTCTTCGCCAAATAGAGGATGACAAGAACAAATGGGTGACATCTGTACAAATGTATCGCCACTTGCAAGAAATTATGGGAGATGCATGCTAAATGCATGAACTTTGCGTGTGATAGACTGCATGCTTATTTAAGAGTGGTATCGTGTTGCTGTCACTTGCCCTTTTAGGGTTGCCCATCGCTCTCAATAAGCTCTCTCACTGTTATGTCCGGTCGTGTCAACCCAAAAGGAACACCTCCTTCCCTCCCTCAAGTGTCTGGAGTCTAAAGAGGGATGATATAGGTGTAGAGAGAGACAGAGGGGAGATTTTTGATGTTGAACCCATGAAATCTAAGCTCCCCTATAAGAACCAAACACATGAGCCACTGGTCTGAAGTTAACCGGGTGTCCTGACTGATTTTAAACCCAGCCAGAGTGCTTTTGCGGCCCTCATCAAGCACAAAGCCACCCACGAATGATGGTTTGTTTTCATGGTGCTTTTAAACAAGTTTATTATTTTTTTACCCTCTCATGGTCACGAAACAGAGGCCAGACCATATCATGAGTTGGGTTTCTCTCTTCCTCCTGCTCCATCTCAAAAGCACCAGGCAATTCACCCCTCAGTATGAATTTTACATTAGCAGATATTGGCAGATTAATAAATTGCAGTTTCTATGCAGTGTGAAACACCTCTAGATAAGCAAATTGCATTAATGACTAACAAACCAACAAAGCAACAATTAATTTGTGTAATAATGTTAAAACATAAATTGGATAAATTCGTATTTATAAATAATATTTGTATGATAAAATAAATGGTAAAATTTGTTAAATAAAATTCTAAAATAAATATTTGTATTTAATTTATTTAATAAAATAGTGGCGAATAAATACCAAATTTGTATAATAAAATAAGATAAAACAAATTAAATAAAACCGTATAATCAGTAAATTAGTATTTATAAATAAAATTGGTATAATATTGTTATAGAATAATACACTTGTAAAAATAACGTATAATACATATATTTAAAAAAGCAAATTAATTTGTATTCTTACACAAAATTGTAAGTAAAATCATAAAATGAAACAGTAGCAAACTAATAAAATATTTTATATTATATATTATATTATATATTTTTTTTTAATTTACAAATAAAATAAAATTGTATAATCAATTAGAGTTTAATTAATATTAGTATAATAATGTTATAAAATAATACATTTCATAAAATGTGTGTAATAACATTAAATAGTAAATACATTTGTACTTGTACATAAAATTATAATTAATAAAATCATAAGCTAGTGGCAAACAAATAAAACTTGTACAATTACAAAATAAAACGAATTTGTATTTATAAATAAAAATTGTATAACATTTTAAATAAAAAAGTATATTTGTAGATATTAAACTTAAATTTAAAATAATTTCTAATAATAAAATCATAAAATAAAATGTTTACCGTGAGCCCCCCCTGCAAAGTTTCAGATGTCCCATGTCCAGCCGTCCTAATCAGATGCAAACACAAGCACTTCATGTAAAATTTTTCCTGACCCTATGGGACAGTCTATTTCATTTTCTATTTCTGTGGAGTCACTCATTGTAACTCCAGTCACAGAACCTAAATGATCCAAAATCCTGACACACAAATGTATATTAAATATCATATATGTTCTGAAAAGACAGTACACAGAATCTCTTGGATTACGATTTGCAACTAGACGGATGTACTGTTACTTCCTCTACAGTCAAATCTGGGTGTCATATTAGATAGCAACTTGTCTTTTGAAAATCATATTTCCCATGTTACAAAAACAGCATTCTTCCATCTTAGAAACACCTGAAACAACACACAGAACTACCACATTTTGCTATAAGTTTGATTGCATCATATAATAATTGCTGTTAATAGTGTTCATCATCTGTTTGATTACATCTTTAATTGATTTTTCCGTACACTTCTGCCATATGTACATTAATCACCACTGATAAGCTACCACTAAATATTGTAGAAACTTAATATGCTGTAAAGTTGCTTTGCAACGATTTGTATTGTGAAAAGCACTATACAAATAAACTTGAATTGAATTGATTGACTTTGATGCATCACATTGCTGTAAATTTCACACCTTGCATCTGGTTAAGACACCGTTTGTTGTTTTGTAATATTGAAGAGCACAGCACCATATTTATTTACGTATCTGGGTCACATTAGAAAGTCCTTTGCCAGATGAAATCATAAACTTGCTGAAACCAATTTAGAGGAAACCTCAACCTCAGCACTATTTCTCACACTCCTTTATCTGTAAGAGGGAGTCTGTAGACGCTGTTAGCTGGGGAGTAGCCTGTGGGCTGTGATCGCTCACCACAAGGTTCATTTGTGTCAGAGGCTGAAAGCTCAAGCTGACGAAGTCTTTGATGGGCATTCATGAGGAAAGGCTGGTCCCTCTGCAACCCATCTGTCATGGCCACTATTAACACTTCATCTGTGCCCATTGCCCTCGTTCTTTCACTCCCTCATTCGATCTTTCCCTCAACTGAACCATTTCCTCAGGAAAGGAGGGGCGAGGAGGGTTTTCCCCCGCCGTTTTTTTTTCCTGCCACATGTTACTGAGGCTATATAAGGCCCAGGACTGTTCTTGGATTTCACCGTTCCAGACAAAACCAATAGCGGCCAGACCAGTCTCTTTCAAAACGCTAGAGACTGAGAAACACTAAAACACTAATATGTCTTTCTCGCTCATTCTTCCGCAATTGAATACTACTACTATTCAAAAGTTTGGAATCACTATGATTTTATTTCTTTTTCTTTTTCTTTTCCTAGTAGATAAATTGGTACTTTTATTCAGCAATGATGCATTAATTTGATCAAAAGTGATAGTGTAAAGGCATTTATAATGTTAAAAAAAGATTTCCATTTGAAATAAAATTCAAATAAAATTCTTTTGAACTTCATATTCATCAAATAATCCTGAAAAAAGTATCATCATGGTTTCCACAAAAATATTAAGCAGCACAACTGTTTTCAGCACTGATAATAAGAATAATTTTTCCTGAGCACAATATTAATCAGTATATTAAATGATTTCTGAAGGATCACGTGACACTGAAGAGTAATAACGGCTGCTAAAAATTCAACTTTGCATCACAGGAATAAAATACATACAATAGAAAACAAATTTTAAATTGTAATATTCATTAAATATATAAAACACAATATTACTGTTTTTATTTTTGTCAGATAAATGTAGCCCTGGTGAACATAATTCACTTTCAAAAACATTAAATAAATATGTTTTTATGTGTTATATTCAAGGTTGGTTCAAATTTCAAGTAAATGAAATTACTTCATTTGTGGAGTCAAGGTCGTGAACTTTTGTATGAAGTCTTTCAATGATGTGTGATTTACCTGACACCATTCAGAGTAATATGAGCATTAAAAGGCACAATTACAATACACAGAAGAACGAGGTTCCTCGGGCATAGTAGGGCCTACCTGACCTGTAAAACTGGAATTGGAGTCTGATCATAACATCATCCTCCGCTCCGTTAGGCTTAAGTGTAATTACCTGTCATCAAATGCCAAACTCTGCTCAGTCTCGCTTAATCGCTCTCTAATACTCACACACGCTGCTCTAGTTTTTGATGGAAAGGCTGAAATGATGCATTTTTAGTTTTTTTTTTTACTGTGCAATTTAAAAAAAAAAAAAAAGGAAGCGGTTTGTGGCTTAAAAGTTTGTGTGTGTGTGCTAATGCAGTGCTTGCGATATAGAGTAACATTGCAAGACAGCAAGTGTCCACATCAGACCACTTTTCTTATCAGATCAATATGCATTAGATTACACCCTGGTATTGCATCATAAACAGTTTATCTCTTGCTTATTATCATTCTGTCTTAGCATTTAGTTGTCAAACTTGGCTGCGTTCCATTTGAATTATTTGAATTATGTCTCCGAGCAAGTACAAATCATGCACCAGACATACTTATGAGAAAGACTTTGTGCCTAGGGACAAAAAGTGTCATCCCACAGTCACTGTTGGCCAGATAGCAAATCTATCAGCAAAGCCATCAGTTTAACTACACTTTTAAGTAGCGACGTAGAGGAGCTAGTTTTTAAATCAAGCTTTAGTAGTGAAGGTATTTTATAAAGTTATCAGGTAGCTTGACACTTGAGATGTTACATTGTCCCTGAGAAAATGTCAGAAATTAAGTATAATTACTGTATTTTCTGAACCAATGATTCCTGAGTCTGAATCACTGAGTCTGTTCTTTTCAGTGAATCGGTCAAATAATGGTCAAAAATTGGTTCACTGTTTAGGATCATTCAGCCTACTCACTGATACACTGAATCGTTCGGACTGTTTTCTCACCCAGTAAAACCAGTCAAAAAATAAATAAGATGAAGCAGCTGAAATTGTTCTACAGCTTGCAATGTAACTAACTACTTCCGCTAAGTGATAGCAAAAAAAGAAACAATAAAATGTACACAAAAAATACAAATATTTATTTATCAATAAAATAGTGTAATTTTAAAAGAAATACTGTATTTATAAATAAATACATAAGCGTGTATAAATAAAATTATAACTAATGAAATTATGAAATATAACAGGGTCAGATGTCCCATAAAGCAGTGGTCCTAACCAGATGTAAAAAAACCCTTCATGTAAAATTTTGCCTGATCTTATGGGACATTGTAGTCTAAAATAAATAAAATATGACGTAAAATTCAGCTGAAATAGTCATACGGCTACTACTTTATTTTCTGAGTAGTTGGTAGCTTTGCTGGCTAAATTTGAGTAGCTTGCAAAGAAAGCTACAAATAACAGCATAGGCCTACTGAAGTTCACATTGCAACACGGTACTGATATTTTCTCTGTCGCTTTTTTTATTTATTTTTGTCTTAATCTCTTTTTTCTACAATTATTCAGGTCAAACTGCTGAACGCTCAAGCTTCAGAACTATTCAATTGGCTGCCTTGCAAGCACTGGTCCTTCAGGAAATGCAAAACTAGTTCAGGTTTTCCTTTTTTGCAGCTCTCTCCATTAGCTTTGCTCCAATATTTCTTCATTCTGCATATTCACACACCAGTAAAAAAGTACACTCAGCTACCGTTGGCCTGATTCCTGCCCCCTGCAGTACAGAGAGTAACGCTCTTGGAAGAAACAACAATATCTGGCGCCCATCAATCCCGCTCTAGTTTGTTGGAACGTGATGCTAACAGTAGGTGAAACGTGACTCTAAGCGTTCCTTGCTGACTACTAGACAGGAAACAGGAGATATGAGATGAAATTAGTGGAAAAATGGTCCAATGGCCTCCTACTGACATGGCCAATGAAAATGACCGTTAAGATCATGCCGGTGTGGAATTCACACTCTACAGAATTCAAACACCTCTACAGAAAGCAAAAAAAAAAAAAAGAGCAGATTAACTCTCAATTTTGTTTTGAAAATGTCTTAAATCATTATGAGTGTGCATGAAGTTGTGCATGTGAGAGTGCATGTTAAGTTCAGTTCTGTGGCTGCTTGGTTGGATTGGTGGTTTGCCTGAGCGCTGGTCCCTTTATGCTGCTGATGGCTGCAGTTTTCCCAGCGCTCTTTGTTTTCTTTAGCACTGTGTCACTCGCTGTGCAAACAACACTAAAACGGCCCTCTTTAATTACTCGTCATTTCCTCTGCTGCCCCACAAAACAGATGATTATGCCAATTTATGAGCACACGCACAGAAACTTGCACACGTTATGACCTCCAAATAGACTTTCCATATGAAAGAAAAATCACAAAGGAGCTCTCATTTATTTCTCCTAGACTCCAATGTGACTAAATATGCTTCTTAGATTTTTCTTCTGATTAAAAAATTAAAAAAAATTTAAAAAAACTTAAATGAGTCTCTAGCGTCTTACATTTCTTATCAAATATTTCCAAAACCAAATTACCTGGACTATCTACTTTTATTATAATGAGTCTGCTTTTATTTCTCCGGAGGAATTCTAGGAGAACTATCTTAGACAAAGCCAATCCATACTTTGTCTCCTGAGCAATGAAAGAGAAACTTCTGAGCAACAAAATTGTTCCTGTGGGTTTGGTTTCTTCTTAAATTAAACAAGTTCTAACAACAACACCCAAACCATAAACCAGAGGTCACCAATTAGCAAACCGAGGTCTAGATCTAGACCCAAGATTGGTTTAACTCATAAATTAATGTAATTATACATACAGCATTTTTCGCCACACAGACATTAGGCTGTTTTTACACTGCAAAGGCGACACAAAAGCTGTATCTGTAGCAATATATAAGATAGCATTTACAAATTTTTATGCAGAAAAGAGACAGTAAAAGTATTTATGCATGAATTACACCTCATTTTTCATATCTGTAATACTAAATATTCATTTTGATATCAATTTTAACAATAGTAATTATAAAAATCAATTAACATTATTTTTTATTAAAACAATAATTCAATTAACTTTTCAAATTCACAAAAAATAATTTAAATACATTTACAAAAATTTATTATAAAAGTTCTAATATTATAAAATTATTATCATAATTTTATTTTATTAATAATTAACCATTAAACCTAATTTTGCATATTAAATTAATTCTAATTAAATTCTAAACTCTGCAGGAACGTGGATCTCACGGGCCAGATTTGAGGATCACTGCCATAGATTGAAAACTGATGTCACAGTGAAAGGCTTCTTTGTCTGAAAGTTGCCGACGTAGGAACCCGGACACATAATTTGGTCTGAGAGCATGTGTGTGTGACTCAACAGCTGAAATTGAATGTCTAGCCACAGCAGATGTCAGGAGTAAAGCAAAGGCAGGCCGGCTATAAATCAAACAAACTAGAGTCTACTTGTACGCGGTCCGGCCTCTGCCTCCTCACCATGCCAGAAGCAATGCAATTTTTTTTTTATTGTTAATTGGTCTCATTACCCATTTAGCCTTTAATGACAGGATACAATTTACAACTACAAGTTATTATGTACAAGTTATAACTAGCTTATGAACACGAGTATTGTTTCTGCGCCAGTAGTGTTACATAATACAATTAAAAATAAACAGCGAGTGAAACATGAACTATCACACACTAGGTTAATTAATCGCAATCAGTATGATCATGTCTAGATTTGGTTGGAGGAACAGGCTGTTGCTTATTGCCGCATTACCTTGTTTTTGGCTATACTGAACGTGTATCAATAGTTCAACAGTCAGTCATGTGATTAGGTCACTCCCTCCTCAAGTGACTTTAAAGTCAAGATCCAGATCTTCTGGTATTGCAGAAAAACTAGCATCATTAAATGCAGGCCAGAGCATGCTGATAACAGACTACCACTGGATCAAAAGGCACCGATGGGAAATAAGATAAAAGAACGAAAATTCACTTAAAGGCCTTTGGAGCACCCTCAAAAATATTTAAATGTTTAGCCTTAATGAGAAGAAAATGAGGTGAGAAGAACACGCTTGCTCACTGAAATTAACTTTACCAACTTCCCAATTATAAACTACTAAACGACAACAGTTTACCAGCCAGACGGCTCACATTTTTATAATATATATATATATTTTATGCAGAAAAGAGACAGTAAAAGTATTTATGCATGAATTACACCTCATTTTTCATATCTGTAATACTAAATATTCATTTTGATATCAATTTTAACAATAGTAATTATAAAAATCAATTAACATTATTTTTTATTAAAACAATAATTCAATTAACTTTTCAAATAAGGCCAAAGATAATATTTATTATTATTATTATTATACATAAAAATTAAGACCTTTATTATCTTATTTAATTTAAGATATTAAATAACAATAATCAGTCATCAAATTAACATTCAATTTAAGACCAAAATTTGTATTAATAA